TTACATCAACGCTTACCGTCTGCGGGCTGCTGGAAGTTGACATAGGCATATCCGAGGGAGCGGCGAGTTATCATGTCACGACACACTCGGATGGATAGGATCGGGCCGGCCGGGCTGAATTTCTCGTAAAGCATGGCTTCGGTCACATCCTGGTGTAGGTCGCCGACATACAAGGAGGCCATTGGGTAACTGGGTGCGCTGGCATTCATCTTCGGGTCTTTCTTGGTCACAAAATGTGGATCGTAACAAAACTAAAATAATATTAAGACAATAATATTAAATTGCTTCGCTGACAGGGCGACACGGTGGTGCAATGCTGTCTCCTTACACCCCTGGGACCTGGGTTCAAGTCTCTACTAGGGTTACATGTGTGTGGAGTTGACATGTTGTCGTTGTGGGGTCTCCCCCCACAGTCCAAAAATCCCAAACTGCACGTAGGTGTGCATGTCTGAGTGACATGTGTGTGAGTATGACCTCCGATGGGTCGGTACAACGTCCTGGGTTATTTTCTGACCCTGAATAGGACAAGTGGTTTCAGAAAATGAAGGCATGACTTTAAAAATCGGCAAGTGAAATTTGTAACTTGAGGCAGGTGCATCCAGCCTAACCACCGACTAACAAAACTCTTCCCGGTGAATGATCCAAATCGGTTCCCATCTGCCATCTAGTTCCGGAGCAATGCGATGTATTTCCATTTTTAAATTTGGTTAGGAGTTTTAAAAAAACGCGAAAACGCAAATGAGGACACTTAATGTCGGATTAGTGAGATTTGATTGTATTACAATATTTGACTGTAAAATATTGTACGTGTGTAACACTAATTAAAATACGTGCCAGGGCTATCGATTAGCACTACGGTAGCATAACTCAACAAAGTACCTCAACTCGACAGAACACCGGTCCTAGCCAATGTGGCGCCCTAGGCGAGCATCACCGCCGCCGCCCCCGTCCGAGGCAAAGCGGAATTGGCTGGGAAATCGGCACCCGATTAGAAGTGTCGCCTATTGGATTGACCGGCCCTGTTTACCAAGGACATGGCATTTAAAATGTAACCTGAAATTTTTTTTTAATCAGTCAAAACATTTTTCCACGGACGTAAAGTGCTGCCACGTACACGTCTGTCCGTGTATAGACAGGTGGACTGTGGGAGGAACCGAATTTAGCTGCATTCTTAACATTTATAACATTTATTCAGCTTATGATATTTACCCCCAATCTTTAAAGGAAAAAAAAACGCTAATTATAATTTACAGACTTGAACATCACAATATTTAATGTCATACGTTTATAGGAAACACGCAGCTGAAATAAGTTAGAGTAGAATCGAGATTTTATTGTTAATGGACATATTCCCATTTATTGATTTTACTTACCAAACAGACGAGATGCGTATTTTCGTATATACGTATATAATTTTACAGGCGTGAATTTCGCAGAGACATGAAGAACAGTGTCAGTAACTTGGGCGAAGCGCTGAAACTGACGGGAGGATTGAGTTTTTATTGACAGAGAAATGGAAACTGAAAGTTTCGAGTGTTTAGTTGAAACTTAAAGGGCTGGTCAAAGCTGGGACTTTGGTCATGCGCTTGATAAGGTCAGGAATATTGCCAAGAATGCTAATTGATTCATGGAACATTTGCAAGAAACGGCAATATAAAGGTATGAATATATAATCATTATTCAAAATATTCAGCTAACAGGATATTAAAATGTTGTTAGTGTGTTAGGCCTATTGTTATTAAAAGATTATTTTATTTTTTATACTTTTTTGTTTTTCTTTATTACATATTTAATTGTGAATCTTGAACTCTAGAACTTTTAAGCACAATTCTGCAAGCAGGTGGGAAATCATTGATAATTATCATCATACATTAATAATAATCAGCCTCATCATTTAGATTCTCCTGTTAAGGGTTACATGCCAAATGTGCCAGATGAATCCAGCCATTTTAAAGCTACAGCCTCCAACTTGTGCTCAGGTATGGCCAAATGTTTCTAAGCTAAATAGAATAATAGAATAGAATAAAAAGCATTTATTGTCATTATACTGGTGTCAGGGTCAGCTCCTGTTCTCTCAGTCTTTCGTGTCCCTTCTCCGTTTGGCCAGCAGGTGTCGCTGGCCATCCTGTCCCTCCTGTCAGTCTTTGTGTTTTCCCTGTTTCATGTCAGCCACATGGCTCAACATGTTGAGCATACAGCTACCTGCAAATCCATTTTGTCGTGTGTTCAAATCCCTTTTGTCGCGTGTTCAAATCTCATCTCCTTTGTTTTTGTATTTTGTTCCCTAGTGTTTCATTGTATGAGTTTTTCTAGTTCCTGTGTCTGGTGATTTGTACTTGGTTTTGGTTAAATTCTTTGTGCCCATGCATAGTTTCCCTGTTCAGTTCCTTTGAGTTAATTAGTTTCACCTGTGACCTGTTAGTCTTGTTATCCTTCTGTATTTAAGTCCCTGCCTCTGTTTAGTTTGCTAGCGGTTTGTTGGATGCTTCTGAAGTCTGTATGCTAACCTGCTCTGTTTCTGTAATTAGTCTTTGTTTATCCCCATGTACTTTTGACCCTTGTGGTCCTGTGTTTTTTTAGACCAGTTAATAAACCCTGTTTGTTCTTTGAGCCGCAAGTGGGTCGTCCACATTTCTGCTCTGGAACCATGATAACTGGAGCACGGATGCTACTTGTACAATGAAATTGCAGTGGCTACTTCTAAAGTGCAGACACATACGGACATTATGTTTGCATACAAACAGCATTTTG